TTGCTCGTTTGAGCCTCAGTTTTTGTTCATGAAGAAACAGTTCAAGGAGACGTGCGGAGGACCCAGAGTGGCCAGCAGCCTGACCGGGTGGGTTGGATTCTCCAGCAGCGTGCCTAGAAGGGACGTTCAAGTAAGCAACGTCCGTTCTCCAGTGCGCTGCTTGGAAAATCCAAAGCGAGGGATATGCCCAAGCAAGTTCTAGACAGGGAGAGTGGAAGGCTGCTCACGCGTGACTGAAGGAGCACACACTGATTGCAGTACTCGCCGTCCAAATGAGGCGTCCGCCGAGGCGAACGAGTCAACTTTATAGTGGCAGATGAAAGTAGTCAAAGAAGTCCATGTGGCAGCCTTGCAAATGTCAGAGATAGTAGCTTGCATCACCCAAGCTGCCGTGGCAGACGCGCTCCGTGTGGAGTGAGGCAAGATCCTACCGGGAACTGGTTTATTCTGGAGCATGTACGCCTTGGAGATGCAGGCCTTCAGCCATCTCCTGATGGTTGACGAGGACACCTTCTGACCCATAGTCACGGGTAGAAAAGAAACGAACAGCGCTTCCGACTTACAGAAATGTTGAGTTCTCCGGATATATCTGCATAAGACTCTATGTACGTCTAATGTGCCAATGGATCTCCTGCGGGTGTCTGGCCTCCGGACAGAAGTCCGGGAGGACCAATTCCTGCTCCCGATGGTAGAGGCTATTAACCTTAGGCAGGAAGGACAGGTCAAGGCAGAGAACCACTTGGTTGGGGTAGAAAACGCAGAGGTCCTCCCGAACAGACAGCGCGGCCAGCTTGGACACGCGGCGGGCCGAGGTAATTGCTACCAGAAATGCAGTCTTTAAAGTCAGGAGGCGTAAGCTGATGGTCCCCAACGGCTCGAAGGGAGGCTGCGTAAGAACTTGGGCAGATTCCAGGTTGGGTATCGGTGGACGACCGGAGGGCTCAGGTTCGCCGCTCCCCGCAGAAACCCCTGAATCTTAGCGTCATGCGACAGTGGAATATCGTACTTAGCTGACAAGACCATTGCCAATGCCGCCACTTGTCGACGGAGCGTGTTTGGGGCAAGACCTCTGTCCAGGCCATCTTGAAGAAAGTCTAGTACCTCAGCGACGGACGCAGAGGTAGGGTCCACATGAGCTTGAGAGCACCATGAATAGAATGAGGACCAGGTGGCGTTGTGGATGGACGCCTGGATGCCTGTATCATAGAAATTGCCTTTCCGGAGATGTTGTCACGTCTTAGGAGGATCCTCTCAAGCGCCAGGGGGACAGGAGGCTCATTCCGCCAGGCGGTCAACTGCAGTCATTGAGGTTCTGGGTGCAGTATGACCCCCTAGCTGAGAGAGATCCTGTCCCCCGGAATTCACCGTGGCGGTGTGACCGACAGATTCAGAAGGTCCGCGAACCAGGCTCAGTGCGGCCAGTGAGGGACAATCAATAGGACGTCTGCCTTCTCAGCCAAGATCTTGCGGATGAGCCTCGGAATAAGCGGTATTGGGGGAAACGCATACAGCAACCCCGGAGGCCAGGGGATGGAGAGGGCGTCAATCCCCTCCGCCTGGGGGCAAGGAAACCATATGAAGAAGCGGGGAAGCTGTGCGTTGTCCCGTCGTGCGAACAGGTCTAGGACCGGCAGGCCGAAGCGGTGGGACAGCTCACGGAAGATGTTCAGATGTAGATGCCATTCCGAGTGGTCGATTTGCGTTCTGCTCAACCAATCTGTGGTTACATTTGTCGTCCTGGAGATGTGCTGCGCCATGAGAGAGAGAAGGTGTGTCTCCGCCCAGGTCAGTAAGCGAGCTGCCTCGTCCATTAGTGGTCTCGAGCATGTGCCCCCTTCGCAGTTTACATGTGCCTTCGTGGTCACATTGTCCGTCAGGACCAGCACGTGGTGACCCACCACCGATGCTTGAAATTGGCACAGGGCAAGATGAACTGCGCGGAGCTCCAGCCAGTTGATGTCGTTCTGGCGATCTGCCAGAAACCAAGACCCTTGAGCTACTCTGGACTGTATGTGGGCACCCCAGCCCAACAGACTGGCATCGGTCGTCACTGTGATACGATGTGGCTCCAGGAAGACGCATCCCTTTGTCAGAGCCAGCGAGGTCCACCAGCGAAGAGGTTGACGAACCTTCACTGGTAATGAGACCCGAGCGCTGGAGTTGCTGCGACGGGACTGCTGGTACGGGAGCATGAACCATTGGAGTTATCGGCCATGAAATCGTGCCCACGGCACTATGGAGATGCATGATATCATTTTGCCGAGTGGGCGAGATAGGAGTACAAGAGGAGTGGAAGGGAGCGATAGGATTTGAGAGACCAATGACGTTAGGCTGAGGCAGCGCTCCGGAGACAGAAATACTTGTCTCTTGACAGACTCTATAATTGCGCCCAGATGAAGAATCCGGGTGGTGGGGCGCAAGTGACTCTTCGGCAGGTTCAAGGAGAAGCTGTGCTGTCGCAGGCACTGGCATACTATAGCATGCGCGCCTCCTGCCGGCCAGCTGGTCTTCGGGGCTCTGTCGCGGGGGGCGGGGTGGGGCACATGCAGGGGATGTTCGCATTGCATTTTGGGGGTTTGGGGATGCGTGCGGGCATTCGCCCCATTTTGGGCCTGGAAAGCCTCCTGCACCAACCTGGAAGCCAAATTGGGGCACAGGGGGGTGAGGCACATGCACAGGGGACACGCATGCATGCACGGGCTGGGGCACATGTGCGGGGGGCGCTCGCATTGCATTTTGGGGGGTTGGGTACGTGCGGGAGCATTCACGTGCGTGCATGGGCGCTTTGGCCACTTGGCACCAAAAAGGTTAACCATCACTGGCCTATAGAATAGACAAGTCAAGTCACATTTTACATGTATTGATTTCTCTTTTCACATTGGATTGTTTCTTATCTTTACTAAATCTGGGCCAATTGTAAAGGAATAAGGATCTTTTACTTTGTTTTGTATATGCAAAAGAAGCAAATTTGAGCAGATGCAATATTCTGACAGCCCCAGAAGTGGGGAGATGTCCAAATGTGAATTGTGTTGTTGTGATGGAAACTCCCCCCCTCACATAATTTGTGTGCATCATTGGGCTAGCCATTTTAGCATCACTGGAGCTAGCTGCAGATTGTTATGGATGGATGTACAACAATCAAGTTGTTTGTTTCATAAATAGAAGATGTAACATATCTTTGTATATGTGTGTGTGTGTGTGTATGTGTGTGTGTGTGTATATGTGTGTATGTGTATGTACACACACACACACACATATATATGTTTTTGTAGATTTTCACGGGTAAAGGTATGTAAGTCGAGGACTACCTGTATTGTGCCAAGAAGAGAACAAAAGAGGTGTTCAAAAAAGGTAAGATCAAAATCCCCCAAACCATGTGATAAGATCCTCAAGGGTAGAATTACTCTTACAATCAACACACAATTATTTGATTTTAAAGATTTGTTATTTCTCTTTCTTAATTTGAACATGTAATAAATGTCAACTCATACATAACACAATACACCAAAAGGAGGCTCTTGTCAAAATGTCATAGAAAGATATATTAGAGTAATACCTTTCATTAAGAAAGAAAAACAAGACATTCGTAGATTTTTCTATTTTGAAAGATTTGTATATAAAATAATCGGGTTGTCTGTTTCAATTTTTAAAAATAATCTTATATTTTCATGTTAGGACACTAATTGTAATCAATTTATCAAACCAATATCCTTGGAAAATCTTTTCATTTCAATTGTGTTCTGTTTTCTTCTCAAGTAATTAAATATTTCCTATAACAGCTACATATTTCCTTCTTTCCTTGATTCATATAGTTGATTTTTATTTCTAGATTAGGAGTTACTGAAATATCTACCTAACAAAACCTATAGCCTGACAGAATCAGACAGAAGCAATATTAAAATACAGTATTTCTTTTCTGTATACCATGAAATAAATATGCAGTGTGATAATGCGTAGCAATGAATAAATGTCTTAGGGATTCCATTCAAATAAACAGCAAAACATAATAGCTTGTATTTAAGTTTTGAATTAAATTGATTGTCCAAGGGTCCAATCAAATAAACTCCTAGTGCCACCAATCAAGAAGCATTATGTAGCAAATGCAAATTTCCCCCCATAATAGGTTTATTTAGGCAAAAAAAAAAAAAAAAAAAACCCTGGAAGAAAATATGGGCAGAAAGGAAGTTAAAAATGGAAAACAATGTTTTCTGGCTCCCCTGAATATTTCATTAATTGCATGGTGTAATTAAGCAATAAATGCTTTACTTGGAAACATCCTCAAAAGCTTGTGAATAAAATATAATGATTTTATCCTGGAGAAGTAATTATTGAGAATATTATGTCAATAATCTCAATGTGTTATATTCTAGAATAAAATTGTTTTAAAATAAGATTTTTTTAAAAAAAATTGTCAAAAACAAAGAAAATGGGCTATCAGTGTAAAAATCACATAAAACCTGAAGCAAATCCATTAAATGACTATTAGGGTTTGTTTTTTTTTAAAAAAAAGCAGATGTTTTATAAAGATTCTGTGTTTTGCTACAAACTTAAATCTCCAAGAGATATTATTGCTTATCAAGTATATACCCAGTGAAATTTTGTGAAGATTTAGGGGGTCCATCAAGCTAGAGTATAGTTAAGCATTTTGAGGAAATAATTAGCTGGGCTAAAACGGCAACTTTCTAACCTTTTTTTTCATATTACACCTGGAAGGATACATCTATATTAGGTTTGCAGCAATAGATACCTGGCACATCCTTTCTTGCCTATAATTTGCACTTTTTTTCTGGAAGAAGAGCTGGGAATGGATTTTTCAAGTAATGTGGTCACATTACTTTGAATTATTTTGTCTATTATCGTATTTCCATATATTATTATTTTTAAAACTCAACAACAACTAAGAAACACAATTACACCATATCCGATGTTTTGGAAATCTTGTTTGACATCTCTGAAACCAAAATGTAACAAATAAAAATAAAACCCAAAGACTACGATACCTGGGTAAAGGTCATGGACATGTCCCGGTGATTGTTGGACAGTGCTGGCAGAAACATCATGGGGAGATGATGGGACCTGAATAGGCTGGATACTCAGGCAGTCATTGAGAATGTCTTGGTCAAGTTCTGTAGTGGCACGCAACTGAAAGCAAAGCAGAAGGTCAGGCCAGAACGTTGCCTAGATCACAAGATGGCCTGCTAGCATCTTTTTAAAATGGATTTATTTCCAGTGCTGCAACCAAGGGGAAGAGAGGCCAGAAGTTTGTCTTTCACCATGTCATACCTTAAGACTTATAGATACTAAGGATTCCCCTTTTACAGCCAATAATACAGAATTCAAACCTGGAAACTTGATTACCTATCACCATGATGCCACGTGTGCCAGAGGTGGCATGCAGAGCCCTCTCTGTGGGCACATGGGCCGTCACCAGCTGCTCTTCTGGTTTCTGAAAAATGGCCGGAAAATGGGTCAAAAAACAGCTGAAAAACATCCCGAAAAAGGCCCCCCAAATGACCTGAAAACACCTAGAAAAATGGCAAAAAACAAAAAACAAAAAACAAGGCCGTTTTTTGGGCCAAAAACAGCCTGAAAACTGCCCCAAAATGGCCCCAAAATGGCCAATAAAACAGCATATGTGCGCTCTGGTGTGCCCACATGCATACACACACGTTCTGGTTTGGGCACAATGCCGAAAAGGTTCGCCATCACTGGCCTATTATATGTACTAACAGTAAAAAAGAAAAAAAAGGGGGGGGGGAAATATAATTACATCTACCTCTTAAAACCATTCTAATTTGGAGAATATAGAATTCAGAGTTTGTATTGTGACTGAATAACAGTGGCTGGTTGCCAGCTGCCAGTTCAGTTTATCCTAACTTCAAATATAATTCTTCAGTATTTTCTCCTATAAAGCTGTATGTTATATCTAGGGTATATCTTCCCTAGAACTTTCTATAATTTTGGAGATATAGACAAAGCAAAACAGCACTATTAACACTAAACTTTAAAATAATTCTTTATACTTGGGATTTTGTCTAAGATTATACTAAGCAGCTATTTTAAAAAAGTAAAAAGATACGCAAAGGGGTTTTTTTGTACATCATTTCTCATTTATCTCCATCCTTCATCTCAGAATAAGATGTTTCTCATACTGTAACCAGCCATTTTCATCGCTTTCATGCATATGTATTTTTGAGGTCAAAGCTACGTATTCTTTTTATTCAAATTCTTAGTCTATATTCTGCAGTTAATTTTAATTACTATGAGATATTGTTCAAAAGGGTAGTTTTTCTAAAAAAAAGTTCAAGGCTATATTATTTACCCTGCATATTTACTTCAACAGGGTTTTGTTTATACTTAAGCTTACCGGCAATTTATCAGTTTTATATACCATGAAGGTGACTCTATCTTCCAGAGGTATTAGAAATATTTTCGTGAGGGAGGGAAGAGAAAGGAGTAGAGGGGGAAAAAAGTAGTGTATTATTTTATGGAGAATCCTTTAAAATAATGACCTGAACTTAAGCAGAAAATATGTTTCTTAATATACTGTGAAAAGAAAAAGTATTGGTTTCTTAGCATTAGAAGGACAGTCTAAACTCTAATGGTAAGATTGATTGGAAACCTAAACCTAGTGACTGCATCTTCAAGTCCTCATGATCTATAGACTACAATGGGACAATAGGGTATAGGTAAACAATTAAGGATTTATTCTTGTCCCCTTTTGGTCTATAACTCAGCCTACTCTTTAATAAATTGTTACTCTAAATCAGTGTTTCCCAACCTTGGCTATTTTAAGATGCATGGACTTCAACTCCCAGAATTCCCCAGCTAGTATGCCTGGTTGAGGAATTCTGGGAGTTGAAGTCCATACATCTTCAAAGGGTCAAGTTTGGGAAACACTGCTCTAAATTCACCAGCATTTCTTCCCAAATGCTGGTTTCAACCCTCAGTAATGGTCATATGTATACAAAGACATTTCAACCTTCAGCAAAATCATGACTGCACTCAGAAGTAATCATCAATGGAGTTAATGTCCAGATAAATGTGCAGAGGATTGGAGTCTATTTAATTTTTACTTTAGATAGGACTCTTATTTTAACAAAATACATTCTATATCTGGAAACAAGAGCACTTCCCAGGAACAAAGTATTCTAGAAAACAAGGCGCCATCTACACTAATTTATTTTATTTTTTTCTTGACAGTTCTTCTAATTTTTATAAGCTCTCAGAACAATGAATGGAAATTCAATTCCCATCATTTTCTCATTTCATATTTGATTGGATAATCACCCATGATTTGGTAAAGCAAGTAGATGTAATTAGAAGGGAACAACGGCCTTAAATTCCTCAATTTTCGGTTGATTATACTTGAATGGAAAAACAGATTTAAGTTGATGTGAAGCATGAACAAACTTCCCAACACAAAAGCTATTAAAACTTTTCTTTTCATTTTTCTTATCACTTATCATAAATTTCTGTTTGCCTTATGGAGACTCAAAATAATCTTTATTGTTCAGTAGAAATCAGATGCCACTAAAATATGCTTCTCAATACATTCAGCCAGGAGAAAAATACTTGATATTTGTTCATTCTTGCAGATAACTTTGTTATAAAACCATGCTAGAAGGAATCATAGTGCATTTATTACTTTACTTCCTATTGTATCATTTAAAAAGTCCTTGCGAAGACTGACATTATAGTTAGATAAGCACTATGGAGCCAAATGAGAAGGGTTAAATGTGATGTTCTTTTCTGAATGCAGAATTAGTCAACAATCTATGGCAGAATCAGTGCTATAACGTCACATAATACTAATACAGAAATTGAGACTTAAATATTTAAAGTCCGCACAATATCCAGAGATGGGAGAAGAAAATGTAAAAATGCACCATTTCTGCTTATAAATTTTTCACTACTGGGTAAGGGATCACCAGAATACTTATCCTTAAGGTGCACTCTTCATAATTCATAAAAAAATATTAAGGTTTATTCTGGTTATGTGCTAAGTAGATAAATATCTCAAGGATACTTTTCCACCTAAAACCTGAGTGAGCTTTATCTTTAACACACCAATTTTACCCAGTTTACAATATGAGATTTCCAAACATTAGCACTTCTGGTGTCCTTTCTGGCCAAGTCTTAATCAGATGTGGAAGAAATATACTATATTTGTTTTCTCATATTTGTTTGGTGTTTGCTGCATGTTTACAAATATAATAGAAAATACAGAGGTCTTCCAAGCAAGTTTCATTAGATGATAGTCTGGTCTAAGGTAACATATATATGAATTCAACTTTTCCTAACCATTTTGTATAATAGGTTCACCTCAAATTATTTTCCGTGAACAGGCATTGTCACACACAGATTTTATGAAATGAAAGTCTAAGGACAGTCTCTACCTGCTCTCATAAGTAGACTTATAAAATCTTTTCATGATGGCAGATAGCAGGAAGCTTTCAACATGATATTCTTCCTTCTTTATCTTCAAGACTTTGGCATTTTGGCCTTCAATGGTTGAATCTTAGTATACATCAGTGCTGCATTGCAATATATCTTCAAAATCCCTTCCCTACATTACATGCTGTTATAGTTTTTATAATTTAGTTCATTTGTCAATCACTACTCATATTTTCCAGTGATCACATGTATTTGTTTCCTTTCTGATAGTAACAAGGTACCTCTAATAGATAATGTGTTATTAGAATAAAAGAAGAGATATGCTAATTTAATCTAAAATCTAATCTAAATCCATAGCCAGTTTGGTATAGTGGTTAAGATGCTGGACTAGAAATTGAAAACTGGGTGTTCTCTGAGGCATGGAAGCGAGCTGAGTGACTTTGGGCCAGTCACTGTCTCTCACACCAACCCATCTGACAGGCTTGCTGTAATGAAAAGGTGAGAACATTATATATGTCATCACGGGTTGCACTAAATAGAGGCAGGGTATAAATCTAGTAATAGAAATAAGTAATAAAATAAGGAAGCATTCTGTCCCCATTATAAGAAAGATGCCAATAGGGGAAGCTGTCAAACAAGTTAAGAGCGCAATAGCATCCAGGAAATGAAATTCAAAGGGAATTTTATCTCCTTTATTGGACATTGCATGTAGCCAGTATGACCAGGAGGCATTAACTCTTTCAAGGACATCCAGATTAACAGCTACCCTTATTCCTTTTCTTTGAGCGACAGTGTACAGTGCATATTCATCATTCATAGTCACTAAATGACTAATGAGATTTCTGTTTTATGTACTTTGGTTTCCTCTTATCATTTTAGTAAGTGCTGAAATCACAAATATTGTTATTTTTCCTCAGAGGAAAATGCTTTAGCACCCGCCTTCACATTTATTCCATTTCTACAGCATCTTTTTCAAGGCCAATAAACAGTATTCTAACTGTGTGCACCGATTTATATACTGTAAAGGGAATATACTGGCAGTTATATTTTTGTTCTCTTTCCATTAAATCCACACATGAAGTTTGTTTGTTCAGAATCTGCATACAGAGTAGACAAGATCTATCCAGCAAGATCTTCTTCCTGGCTAGTTATTTGTTGTTTACTGTATATTCAAAGTCACACTTATTTTGCCCCATAAGCATCCCTTTGTCCTAACTTACAATGCATCATGTTTGTATTTTAATATTCATCCACACTGGATAAATATTTTTGAGGTTCTTCTCTGTCCCTTTCTTATTCATCCTAAATAATTGAAGGTTATCAGCAAACCTGGGCATCTCACTGTGAATTATCTATTATTCATTATATTTATTATTAATTATATATATTATCCATTTTTCTAGGTCAGGTTGCAGTTGGTTGCTAATTAATATAAGACGTAGTGAGTTTTTTATTTGTAATCCTTTCCTTTGTGAAATCAACTAAGATAACCTACTTTGGTTCTATGTAATTAACATGGCTGTCACACAATAAAGAAGCATCAACATGCCTCTAAATCTAAGATTTATTTTTACACAAGACTGGGTAGCTTTCTTTAAGCAGAACAGCATAATATATCAAGAAATGTCTTGAGTCTACAGTATCCTAAAGGAATAAATTAGTGTATATTAATAATTATTGATGACAGTAGTAATTCAGACAGATCAGTGGAGGCCCTAGCACAATTTATTTATTTGTACCTGTGG